AGCTTGCCCAGCAGCAGGCCCTGGTAGGCGGCGGTCAGCACGACACAGGCGAGCAGCCAGGCGGCCAGCATGGGCCTGGGCGGGGCGGGCGGCGGAGACGCTTGCCCAACCATCGGGGCCAGCGCCTGCAGCACCGCGCCGCTGATGTCCTGCCTGCCGGCAAACTTTAAGACTAGGACCGTACACAGCGTGGCTAGCCCTGTGGCCAACCACAGCGCTTGGGAGAACTCCACCGTGACCGCGTCCAGGACGCCGACGCTGGCGCCGTAGCCCGCCGGTACGATGACGACGAACTCGGCTAGGTCCAAGTCGTGTAGAAAAGTGACCTCTATCGTCTCGTGCCGAGTGAAGAAAACATCGTCCGACAGCAATGCAGCCAAAGCGCACTCCCTTATTTTTAGACCCACGTGTTCATAACGCAATATTTGCTGATAATTTACCGGTGTCTGCGATTGCATGCGTCGGTGACGGCTTTGACTGGCTAAGTTTACGGCGCTTTTTGTAAGCTCCATTAGCGATGATGTATTAGCCAAGCCTATCGTCTTCTCTATGAACACGGTTAGTTCCTGGGGCTTGCCTATCTCACGATAGCCATTGCAAAACTCGTAAAAAAGGGCTGCCCCTAGGCGCCAACGATGCTCGACGGGCGACCACCTGTCCATCTCGAACACTGTAGCATCCATTCTCCAGCAGGCGTCGGAGGGGGTGCAGGTCAGATTGTAGAGGGTGGAGCTGCCGTTGAAGAAGGTGAGAGCTAGAGCGTGCTGGTGAACACCCAACCACCTGTACAAACGAATGATGTGGCGTAGTACTCTGTCTTGGGGGATGGGCATGGTCACCAGCCTGGTCCAGAATAGGACACGAGCATCCGTCAGTTTGTTGATCTCGGGGTAGTTCTTCATCGCGTAGAGCAGCTCCTGCAGATCGTCCGTAGGCACGAAGTGTACAAGTCGCGTCGCAATCAGGCCGTGCTCAAGCCGGTCGAGGTGAAGTGTGCCCGAGTAGTTGTTTTGTTTCAATGCAGTGGGGCCGCGGCTCGGCCTCGGGGCCAGTATCCGCGGGATGTCTGCGGACAGCTCCCGGAGGAAGGCGCCGGTCCAACGCGAACTTCCCCTTAATTTGAGGGTGGCCTTCTGGGACACCATGAACGGCGAGAGCAGCTCCGCGGCGCTCCTGGCCTCGGGGGGCGCGGCCGAGTCCACGACGGGCAGGCCGGCCTGTGCCCCGGGCGACGCGCTGCAGAGAAGAAACGCGACCAGAAGGACCTCCATGGTGGCAGCAAGTCGTACTCGAACTGGTGCCAGGGGCGCCCTTTCTTGTCCCAATCGAATCCAGTCTGACACGCGCATCTCGTCATGGTGCCGGGAGGTCCTTAGAAACCGTTCAGCGGCTGGAAACAGTACGTCCTGCGAGTCATATTGTTTGCTCGGTAGCCTGCGCTGTACACGGTGGACGCCATAGACAGTGACGAGTGATTTGCATCGGCCCTTTAGAAGGCGCTCTGAATTGGGAATTCGCCGAATGCCAGAACCAACGGTAGCGGCGCGAAGGTGCCCCTAAATGTGCCCCGTGAATTGTGTACATGTTGCTTGTCGATTTTTGATTGTGGAAGTAAACGAGGGATTATGCGGGGGAAAACGAACATAAAATTGCCAATGTGGTGCATCATTGGATATCCACTAACCTTTCATTTGTAACTGCGGAGAAATGGCTACGACCAACAAAGTCAAATCCGTGCGTGTCCAACTAAGGGGGCAGGGCACCCACAGGTAATGCTGGGCCCTGCTGTAAAAAAAATGCAATACATTAAGACACCTTTACCCAGTTTTCCTCCCGGCCCAGCGAGCGCGCCAGGCAAACATCGCCTCGAGGGCAAAGGCCACCACGCCCGCCATGTGGCCGGCGCCCAGCACTACAAAAGCCGGCTGCAGGTGCCACAACGTCATGGACTTCGGCCCCCGGAGCGACACCAGCCTCTTGGCGTCGTCCCGGTACTCCCGCTCGTACTCGGCGCGGCGCCAACGCGCCAGCAGACCCGCGGCCTCGACGCGCCC